ACACATATAATTCTTTAAGAAAGAAAGGAAGAAGCTGGATCTTGTGGCACACGTCTGCAATCCCAGCATTCTGGGAAGCAGAAGCTGTGAGTTCGAGGCCAGCCTAGTCTACAAAGTCCAGTAGAGCCAAGGCTACACAGAGAAAATGTGTCTCGGAAAAAAAAAGAAATCTTTTCTAAATAAAGAAAAAAAGAAATCTTGAGTGTGCTGACACACGCTTGTAATCCCAACACTTTGGAGGTAGGAGTGGAGAGATCAGGAGTTCAAATTCATCCTTAGTTACAAGACAAGCAAGTTCAAGGCTAGCCTGAATTGCATGAGCCCCTGTGTTTAAAAAAAAAAAAAAAAAAAAAAAAAAAAAGGCAGCACTCAGGGGAGCAGGGGAGTGTGATACCGGCCTGGGCTGCGTAGTGAAACACCCTCTCAAAAACATTTTTTAAAATAACACTTCTACCTCTTCCCCTATTTTTGAATTAAATTATTTACTTTAATTTTCTGTGCATTAGTGTTACGCCTGCATGTTATATCTGTGTGTGGGTGTCGGATCTGTTAGAAACGGAGTTACATTTATGAGCTGCCATGTAGGTGTTGGGAATTAATTGAACCCAAGTCCTCTGGAAGAGCAACCAGTGCTCTTGACTATTGAGTCACTGCCCAACCCCCCAAGATAGGATTCACCTGTGTAGCGTAGCCCTGGCTGTCCTGGAGCTCTGTAGACCAGGCTGGCCTCAAACAAACAGAGATCCATCTGCCTCTGCCTTCCAAGTGCCGAGATCAAAGGTGTGCGCCACCACTGCCTGGCTGCCTTCACCTGTTTAAAGCCTAGTTTATAGTGGTTGTTTGCTTTACCTGTTTGTTGAGGAGTCTCTCTGCCGATCAGGCTTAGACAGAACTTAGCCAAGGATTGCCTTGAGCTCATGACAGTCCTCCTACCTCAGCCTCCCAGTGCTGGATTACAGTCACGAGACAACATGTGGAGCTCGGGCAAGTCACATATTTGCAGAGTTATAAAAGCACACACAATGCATGTTAGGCTATTGTCATCACCTCAACAGCCCATTGGTAAGCCCACACCTCACCCAAATCTCCAGATCCAGTTGGCCAATGAAGAACCCATTTTCTGTCCTGAGATTTGCCTCTTTCAAACATTCCGCTAAAACAGGGTCCTATGAGATGAAGCCCTTCCTGCTTGCCGCCGATCTTATCTTAGTGTTGTCAAGGTCATCCACAAGCACCATGCCTCATTTTGGTGCTGTCTTTATTGCCAAATGAGATGGCATTCATTGTATGATTACTATTAATTAATTGGTTAGAAGAGAGTCTCAGACAGGATTCCCACATATCCTTGGCTGTCCTGGAACTCATGCTGTAGACCAGGCTGGCCTTGAACAGAGATTTTTCTGCCTCTGCCTCCCAAGTTTAAACTCTGCTGAGTTTAAAGGATTGCACCACCACCTCCTGCCTTTTCTAGACTTATTCAATTTTTTTTTTTTTAAAAAAAAAGTGTGTCTGAGTGTTTGCCTGCATATACGTATATGCAGCATGAAGTCAGAAGAGGGTGAAGTCAGAAGAGGGTGAAGTCAGAAGAGGTGTCAGATCCCTGGGACTGGAAATCCAGACAGTTGTGCCTCCATGTGAATGCAGGGCACTGAACCTGCGTCCTCTGCAAACAAGCACTCTTTAACTGCTGAACTATTTCCGGCTCCCTGTCACTTAAGGGAAGAGATGCCAGATTTATAAAGAGAAAGTGAGAATAAGCTCTCAAGAATGAAAAGAGTCCCCAGGAAGAATGCCCCTGGCTACTGTTCTTATTATTGTGAAAATAAAAGGAAAAAAGTGATCACACACACACACACACACACACACACACACACACACACACACGCACTGTAGAAATGTTTGCATGGAAGCCAGAGCCATTAGGAAGCAGGACGCTGACTCTCTGAAGATGAGCTTCGCTCATGGACCCACTGACTGCAGGTCTCTGAAGTACAGAATTGCACTGTGCCTGAGCCCTCCAGATGTGTTTGCAGAGTTTAGCAATGGCTGCCTCCGGGACATTTTTAGCCAAGCACAGATAACCTCTCCTGTGAGTCACATGACACCTGTTCTTACTCAGTCTCTGCAGTTTCCTACGGAGGAAGCTTCACCACTTTTTAAACATGTATTAAAAGCCGGGGTGGTGGCGCATGCCTGTAATCAGGGAGGCAGAGGCAGGTGGACCTCCGTGAGTTCGAGGCCCGCCAGGTCTACAAAACGAGTCCAGGACAGGCCAAGGCTACACAAGAGAAATCCTGTGTAGAGAAATAATAATAAAATAATATATATATATATATATATATATGTATTTGTTTTATGTATTAATTTGTGTCACTTGGTACTGCTGCCCACTTTCGCTTCCTTCTTTGGGACATTGAGTGAGAGTTGTATGGGTTCATGTCTACCCAATTTCAGCTCCTGAAATCCTTCCCCAGTTTCCAGTTTCCAGCTGACTGACAGTGAACTCTCACAGATAAGTGGCTTCCGAGAATGCTAGTTCTTATCGGAACTTCCTGACCCATCCGCACAACGGGGTAGATGGTCATATGAGCCCATTCTAGGTGAGGAGTGAGCTCAAAGCAGCTAAGTCCTTAAACCTCAGAGAAGAGACCAGAACTCTCGGGCCTGCGCACTCTTGCAGCATAAACCCTGGCTGGGCGGCACTTCAGAAACAAAATGGTTGCTGGGCTTGTGAATGCATGCTGGGTGTAAGCAGCAGGATCAGGGAGCAGGGCCTTCTCCAAATATTGAGTTCAAGTCCAGCCAAAGCAATGTGAGATCCTATTCCTACAACAAAGAAAAAAGAAGGAAGGAAGGAAGGAAGGAAGGAAGGAAGGAAGGAAGGAAGGAAGGAAGGAAGGAAGGAAGGAA